AGGCGATTGAGGGCCTGTAAGATAGACCAGCCCCTGTCTCTGCTTAACAGGAGTGAGAACTGAGAACCTTGTTTCTCCCTGGTACTGCCAGTGCCTCTCAGCCCTTCCTCCTGCAGCAGGGAGCATCTTGCTGCAGCCTCACATTTAAAGGTGTGTGTGTGTGTGTGTGTGTTTTGGCACGACCCCAAGCCACTAATGTCACATGGTGCTAAGCTGAAGTCCCAGCAGACCAATCAAGAGATAGCATGTTCCCACGGGGTATACAGTGGGTAATTTTAACTTGAGACTCAGGCTGTGCTAAGACACCAGCCTGCCATGAGCCAGAAGGAAAAAGAGTAAGAATTAAGATGGGAGAACAGGGCCCTTCCCAAATGATTGCTTTGGCCAAGAGTTTTGCATTGCTGTGCTTACTGAGACCCTGGATTTGATGTGTGTCCTTCCTCCTGTTCATTGTCATGTCCCAGATCCTCATCAAAGAGACCTGGGAGAAGGACCAGTAAAGAGTCAAAGTCTCAGAAGCCCACAGGGGCAGTTCTACCCTACCTGTCAGGGTCGCTAATCAACTTGGCAGTGAGTTTGTGACATTTTCCCTGATTCGTATGTCCGCTTGTTGTTCTGTGGGGGCGTGAGTGTTGCTGTGATGCTTGAAGTTGTGCCACGGATGTTTCCAGGGTAGCAGGGTCACTCATGGCAACAGGCTCAGTGCAGCTTCCAGAGGAAGAACAGACTAAGGAGAAGGAAGAGGCAGTCAGTCCACTTGTGAGGTCACAGGATAGGGTTTAGCAAAGACTAGTAATGTTTTCATTTCAAATGCCTTTTTTCAACAACAGAACTGGCTAGTTTGCTTGTGGAGCTCCCCTGGTGGGACGTACAGCATCAGACTGACTACAACTGTGAGAGGGGATGACGGGAGAAAGCCTCCCCTACTCCCCTGCAGACCCACCCCCGCTCCCACAGTTTGAGAGGGAGTGCAGCTAGGTGAACTGTACCATAGCCAACCATCCATCATGGGCTAGCCCAGAAAGGCACGTGTACTTCAAGCGCTGGCATACTGGTTTGAAGGTTAGCTGTTCAAACCCACCCAGAGGCAACTCAGAAGTAAGGCCTGGCATTGTGCTTCCCAAGGTCACAGCCTTCAAAGCCCTCTGGAGCAGTGCTCCTCCACACACGGACTGCGATGAGTCAGACGCAATGGCAGCTAGCAATATTTAGATAGACAGACAGACAGACAGATGGATGGTAGGATTTGGCAGGACGTTTCAGTAAGTCTTCTCTAAGGGTGCCCTGGGGTAACCATAAAGTCGAATGAGCCCACGCTCCTCGTGGGTGTGGGGATAGGAATAAGGATGGGAGTGGGAGTGGGTACAGAGCTCAACATGACCTTAGAAAGTCACCAGCCTCCCTGGACGTTCTGCTGGGCTGTGCGCGAGGGAACTTTCTTTCCAGGCAAACTAACCCCATCCAGTGCATCGCCATGGCGCCCATTCTAACCAACTCAGTGATCTAATAGGACAGGGTAGAACTGTCCCTGAGGGTTTTTGAGGCTGTAAAATGTACAGGAGCAGAGAACCTCATCTTTCTCCTGAGGAGCCGCTGGTGGATTCAAACTGCTGGCCTTGTGGTTAGCAGCCCAACAAGTAACTCATGATGCCACAAGGGCTCCTTTCAAAGCTACCTCCTGGTGCTCAGAAAAGGGGCAACTGCCAGTTTGGCTTGAAGGACAAGGAGTAGCTGGTCAGAAGAATGACTGAGTGTGAATGGAGACCTGGGGGTGGGGGCAGAATGAGCCAAAACAGCTTAGCACAAGGTGGGTCTGTGTGGGGTGGAGTCTAGAGGTGGGTCAAGTTGTTTTGAGTTTAGGAAGAAAGCATTTACCACCGGGAGTTGGCCGTCTCCTGGGCAGAGCAGGGGCCACGTGAGCAGTTAGCTTATCTGTTCGCCGCTGGGTGGGGTGGGTGGGTAGAGCCAGACCAGAGGCCGGGAGGCCACCTGGTTGGAGGCGTTGGTAAAGGATGCCAGGACCTTGCGCCAGGAGGGTAGCATCGGGGTGATATGTATCCTCACACGGGAGATCTATGTGTAGCTGAGAGGAAGATTTACTCTTAGGCCATGTTCTCTGCGATCCTATTGCATTCTAAGCAAGATCAGAAGTTACTTATATCAAATCTACCCAGTCTTCTAACATTTGGGGCCTGAGCATATTCTATTTTAATTTATATGATAATGAAAAAGCAATCAAGAGTTGGTTTCTGGGATTACTCTCCTCCCCTCATGCATAATGTGTTGTCTAACAGGCTAGCCTGAAACCCTTTATAAAGTCTCTATCATCTATATTTTGTACAGTAACCACATGACCTACTGTAATTGTTTTTATGTTCAGAACACACACACTGCCATCGAGTTGATTCTGACTCATAGCAACCGTATATAGGGTTTCCAAGACTGCACACCTTCACAGGAGCAGACAGCCTCATCTTTCCCTTGCTTCGGCTTTGACCCACACCTTGTGGTCAGTAATCCAATGCTTACGCAGCTGCGTCCCCAGAAGCACCACCAGGGCTCCTTATTTTTCTGTCACGAGCTTGCTCTTTGTTGCTGTCGTAATCCACTGGTCTCCCATCAATGTCTTCATCGACTTCCTAGATGTCATGACGTCTGCGCTCTGTTGGAAGGGACTTAGTCCTTTAGATCCGAGAGTACTCTACTCTCTCCTCCCCATGGCCCAAGGAAGAAGCTCACCTGGAGCTGACCAACTTATTTTCCTTCAGTTTGTGTAGATATAATGAACGACAAACAGCCCCCCCAAAACAACTATTCTGATGCATAATGACCCTATAGAACAGGGTAGAATTGCCTCTGGGTTTCTGAGACTAACTTTTTTTTTTTTTTTCAACGAGGAATTTTTTTCGTTTTATTGGCACATAATTCACATACCATATGATTCTACAGTTCAATTGTATCAAAAGGAATTGTACAATCATGACCTCAATCAATTTTTAAATGTTTTCTCTTTTTTCATGTTCAAATGCTTTTTTTTCCTTTTCTTTTTTTTCATGCTTTAAATTTTTATTCTGAGCAAAGCAAATTCTATAATCATATAATATATTTTTTTCTTTTTTAACATTTTATTAGGGGCTCACACAACTGTTATCCCAATCCATACACACATCAATTGTGTAAAGCGCATTTGTACATCGTTTCTCAAAACATTTTCTCTCCATTTAAACCCCCGACATTAGGTCCTCATTTTTCCCCTCCCTCCCCGCTCCCCCCTCCCGCATGAGCCCTTGATAGTTTATAAATGGGTATTTTGTCATATCTTGCCCTGTCCTACGTCTCCCCTCATCCACCCTTCGGTTGTCTGTCCCCCAGGGAGGAGGTCACACACAGTTCCATGTAATCGGTTCCCTCTTTCCTACCCATTCTCCCCCCACCCTCCCTGTTTTACCACTCACACCACTGGTCCCATAGGGCTCATCCGTCCTGGATTCCCTGTATTTTCAGTTCCCATCTGTACCAGTGTACCTCCCCTGGTCCAGCCAGTCTTGCAAGATCGAATTCGAGTCATGGTAGTGGGAGCAGGGAGGAAACCTTTAGGAACTAGAGGAAGATTGTATTTCTCATCATTGTTACATCGCACCCTGACTGGCTCATCTCCTCCCCGAGACCCCTCTGCAAGGGGATCTCCAGTGGCCTACTAATAGGCTTTGGATCTCCACTCCACACTCCCCCCATCATTCACTATGGTAAGATTTTTTGTTCTGATGATGCCTTACACCTGATCCCTTCGACACCTCGTGGTTGTATAGGCTGGTGAGACTAACTTTTGACAAGAATAGAAAGCCTCATCTTGCTCCCATGGAGCGGCTGGTGGTTTTGAACTGCTGGCCTTATGGTTAGCAACCCAGCACATAACCACCATACTACCAAGGTTCTGAAGAACAGAGAAACTCAGGCTTCATTTAAGAAAGGCTCTCTGGTTTTGAACTGATAGGTAGGCATGAATTGCCAAATAGTTTAAAGTAAACAATTCCTAAAACTCTCACCGCTGTAATCTAATACAGAGGCAAAAGCAAATGCCATTGGCTATTTTCAATTATGTGACTGTAAATTATATAAGGCCACAGTCCTGGCTAGCCCCATCCAGGTTGAGCTAGAAGCCACTACAGAGAAACTAGCAGCTCCAACCAGTTAGGGTCATCTTGCACTGTGCTGGGGAACTGTCATGGTTCATTAATTGTTAACGTGGGGTGCCTGATTTTCATAGTAGTTAACTAGTATGTGGCGCTTGCATTCCCTGCCCAAGACCAGAGTCACCGTGTGTCTTTACAAAGAACGGTTGTTAAGGCGCCCTGCCTGCTTTGGCTAACACGCCTTTATCCTTCATTGGCTAAATCTAGCAAATATTTACCCCCACTCTGCCCTTTCAGCTCATTCACTGGCGCGCACAGTGGGCCCCACTTCTGGGGCCTCCCAGGCTCTTCCAGTCACGTGCATACCTTCCTGGGGCTGCAGAGCAATGGCATTTTGGATCATGGCGTGGCCCTTGCAGCTGTGGCCTGTCTTGTGGGGTGGGGGTGGGGGGCACATGAAAGAAGTGAACATGTAGGGAGTATGGGTGCAGTGCTAGTTTTAAAGACATCAGCTCACTTGATAATGAGGCCTCGCCCTGTCAAGTAGAATCTGTTCCAAATTTATAAATGCTTTCCATAACCCACGTTGACTCACTGAACACTCTAAATTTGAAATCCCCACTCTGAGGCCTGCCCTGGTGGATTTCTAAAGCTACTGTGATGCAGGCCATATTAATAAACACGAGAAGGGCCAAATCATGCCATAGGTAGAAGGTTACAAAAAATTAGCCCGTATTTGGACTCATTATTGCTGTCCAGTCAATTCCCACCCTGAGCATAGACTTCTGCCCCCCGGGCTTGTCAGAGTTCAAGTTCCTGGCTCAGAGACTTGGGAGGAAAGTGATGTCTCTCTTCCTTCTCTTCTAGATACATCCCTCCACTGATCTGGGGGAAAAGCGGACACATCCAGACAGCCTTGTATGGGAAGATGGGAAGGGTGAGCTCACCACACCCCTACGGACAGCGGAAGTTCATCACCATGATCGATGGAGCCACTTCCACCTTTGACCTCTTTGAGCCCTTGGCAGAGCACTGCATTGGAGGTGAGCTGGTTGAGGGCCTGGGTTTGGGCCACCACCCCGAGAGGGAGGATTGCTGAGGGAGAGCCCCCAGGATCACTGGGCGTGCTACCCGCTCTGAATATGCCTGCATCCAGGGTTGTTAGGAAACTGGCTGGAAGCATCGCCCGGGAGCAACCTGCAAGGATGAGCACTCACATATGCTTTCAAGACGCCGGGTAAGGTTCTTAAGGAAGCACTGTTCTTAGCGTTATTGCCATCCTCTTGTGGAGGCCAGAAGCTTGATGCAGGAAGCAAAGTGGTGCCCCTACGTGGCTAACTGGAAAGTCAGTGGCTAGCGTCCAGGCTCTTCAAGGCGTCTGTTGATGGCAGCTACAAGAGCCAGGCTGTCCTCAGTGCTTTACGCCGACTACTACCCCCTTCAGTCCTCACACCAACCCTGTGAGGTTGCTGCCCAGGCCATCCCACGTGACTGACAGTGAAACTGAAGCTTAGCTGTGTGGTGGAGCTTGGTTTTGAGATGGTTAACAGTGGGTCACAAGGGCTCTAAGGAACCCTCAGCTTAGATTTTCATGAACAACATTTTAGCTGCCTGAAGCACCTCTGTCATGCATCATTATCACATGGGGGTCAGGAACGACAGCGTCTATTTCTGTGACTGCTGGATTTGGGCCTTCGTCCCCCCAGCTCACCATACTCGCTTACCCATTGCCATCGGCTCCATTCTGCCCCACAGGGCCCCCTTCCCCAGGCTGAAATCCAGAAGCAGTTTGCCACATCTTCCCCCTGAAAAAGAACTAGTGGGTATGAATCGCCAACCTTCCGGTTGACAGCCAGTCTCTGAACCACTGTGCCTCCAGGACTCCTTAGCCTACACGATCAACGCTCATTATAAATGCTAGAGAAGGGGGCCTTTCGAGAAAGTGCAGTTAGATACCAACATTCTTTTGAATGTCTCTTCTACTGGTAGAGAACAGCCTTATGGATTCTGAGTATGCAAAGGTAAGCCAGTACGTTGTTTGGGTTGTTTTTTTTAAAGCTTATTGGCACATCATCTACATATCACACTATTCAATAGTTCATATATATCAAGAGATGTACAATCATTACCACAATCTTGTTTCTTTTTTTTATTCATAGAAGTTTAGTAAACATCCCTGAGTAAATTTAACGTCCACATTATTTAAAGTAACGAGAACTGCTGAGGAGCTAGTGACAGACGCTTAATTTGTGTCCACTCGGCTTGGAAAGCTCTTCCCCAACGCATCACATGGCTGCCTCCCCTCCCCCTGGTGTCACAGGCTTTAGCTCAGCTGTCACTTCCTCAGAGACACTGCCCCTGACTCCCCCACCGAGTGTCTGCTTCCTAGGAAACCCATTATGCTATGCAGCTTTATTGCTTCATGCTAACGATTTCTCTTTAACCCTACTTGGGTAGTTGTGTGTTTGTTTATCATCGATCCACTAGACTGTAAGAATCCCCAGGGTCCAGGACAGTAGGCTCCCAATAAACCGTCAGAGGGAATGGAGAGATTTCTAGGTTCGTAGAACTGGTCTCTCCAACATTTATTTCTCTAACACACGCATCGTGTCTTCGTGACCTAGTGCTCCAACAAATACCACATGTGGATGGACTTCACGAGCAGAAGTGCTCTGTCTCAGAGTTTGGAGGCCAGCGCTGAGGCAAGACTGTCTCTCTCCTTCCTTTCTCTCGCTGTGCTGGCTCAGGAGAAGGGTCCTTGTCTCTCGAGCTTCTGTTTCTGGCTTGGCATCTATCGTCTCCCTTGGCCGCTGCTTTTATATTTTCTAGGAGAGCAACTCAAAACACACTCTATGCAAATCCTGTGGTTTTTTTAAATCTTTTTATTGAGGCCTCATACAACTCTTATCACAATCCATACTACATCCATTGTGCCAAGCACATCTGCACATCTGTTGCCCTCATCATTCTCCAAACATTTACTTTCTGTTTGAGCCCCTGGTATCAGCTCCTCATTTTCCCCTCCCCGCTCCCCACCACTCATGAACACCTGATAATCCATAAATTATTATTATTTTGTCATATCTTACACTGTCCGATGTCTCCCTTCACCCATTTCTCTGTTGTCTATCCCCCAGGGAGGAGGTTATATGTAGTTCCTTGTAATCAGTTCCCCCTTTCCACCCCACCCTCCCGGTATCGCTACTCTCACCACTGGTCCTGAACTGTTCATCTGTCCCAGATTCCCTGTGTTTCCAGTTCCTATCTGTACCAGAGTACATCCTCTGGTCTAGCTGGATTTGTTAGGTAGGATTGGGATCATGATAGTGGGGTGGGGGGGGAGGAAGTATTTAAGAACTAGAGGAAAGTTGTATGTTTCATCATTGCTACACCCCACCCTGACTGGCTCGTCTCCTCCCCATGACCCTTCTGTAAGGGGATGTCCAGTTGCCCACAGATGGGTCTTGGGTCCTAAATCTGTGGTCCCCCTCATTCAGAATGATTTGATTTTTTGTTCTTTGATGCCTGATACCTGATCCCTTCAGCACCTCGTGATTACACAGGCTGGTGTGCTTCTTCCATGTGGGCTTTGTTGCTTCTGAGCAAATCCGGTTTCATTAACATAAAAATCAACTCATTCTCAAATGGGAATTGTAACCTCAAACCTAGAGGTTAGGATTTACAACACACATTTGGAGGGACAAAAGTAATTCACAACACCCTTTTTTTCCTCTCTCTCCTTTTGAATGTTTTTACTTCTACAGGTAAAGCCCAGAATTAGTTTGGCTATCTCCCTTCACAGAAAGAGGGCCAAAGTGGGAAGTGGGTACAGATCACAACTTTGATTTTCTGTCATACTTGTTTGTGTCCTCCTGTTGGCTGCACCACTTTCCCACTTCTCATGAACGCTGACCGCCCTGCACTGCAGAGTGAATGGGTGAAAGTGGTTCTGAGCAAAGCAGTGTTCACACTCAAGACGTGCACTGGATAGCACAACCCTCTGTTGTTGGTTTGGTTTGTTTTACACTCATTCCTCACTTCATCAGCATTGTTAGGTTCCAAAGACCAGGTCATTTTGCACAATTTGACGTGATGTGAAAATTGGGGGTGACCGAATCAGATCCCACAGTGGAGGATGACCACATCATCACATAACTGCTACACCACTGAGGATCGTGGCCCAGCCCACAGGACACACCACGTGGCCTCACATCACTCACCACTCTCACCTTGATCCTTGGTGTTTGTCACCTCTGTTCCCCATCCGTCAGGTGTACCCACGCTTGTATTTCTTGCATATCTTCCAGAGCTAATAGATGCTCTGTAAACTGGTTGTTAGCTGCCGAGTTGCTTCTTAGAGTGACCTCATGTGTTTCAGGGTAGAACTGCTCTATGGGGTGTTCTTGGCTCTAATCTTAATGAAGCATATCCCTAGGCCTTTTCTTTGGCGGTACTTCTGGCTAGGTTCAAACAGCCTACCTCTAGATTCGCAGTTGAACATAGCCCGTTTGTGCCCCACAGGGACCTGCCTTATAAACAGAGATATGCGGGGATTTGTTTCTCCACACAAATGGATAGCATGTTACCACCCTCTTCTACATCTTGGGTTTTTTTGCTCACATATGCTGGTGAGCTTGCCTTATCAGTTGTTTTTAATTTTATGTTGTTGAGAATATATACAACAAAACCTACACCAAATTCAACAGTTTTCTACATGCCCAGTCCAGTAACATTGCTTATATTCTCCAGATTGTATAACTATTCTCACCCTCTTTTTCTGAGCTGTTTCTCCCCCATTAACATAAGCTCAGATAAAAACCTTATCTAGCCTATCAAGTTGCTGTCATCACTTTAATCCAATAGAAATAGATCTGAAAAGCTCAAGGCAGACATTTCTTACAAGTTACACTTGACTGCTGTTTTTTCGTAAGAAGACTTCAGGGGATATTTCTGGTTTACCGTTTAAAGATTTTCTCCAAGGGCAATAGTTTCAGAGGTTCATCTGACCTCCATTGCTCCAGAAAGCATGGTGTCCATGAGAATTTGAAATGCTGGTGGTCTACATTTCCCCCTTTTGCTCAATATTCTTCTAGAATCGTTGGTTGAAATGTGTGGGAATGGTAGCCAGCACCACCCACTTCTTCTGGTCTAACGGCAAAGGAGGTTGTTGGCTGTGGGGCAATTAGCCATACAGTCCATCCCTCCTCCTGTCCCTGATTCGTCAAGGCCTGTGCCTTCGCTGGCCACTTGAGAGCGTTGACGACCCAGATACTACACATAGCAGTTCATCCAAAGTCTCACCATTTCTTTTAACAGGTTTATTGTCACATAGTTTACAAATCATACCATTTAATAGTTCCATCCTAGCCAGGAGAATTGTACAATCATCGCCACTATCAATTTTAGAACACCGCCCCCCATGGTTGAATCACCTTTAAAGTGAGTTGTGCAATCACAGTCAGTTCTAGTGCCCCCTCCCGCCTACATTTCCCACCCCTGAAAGCCTTCTTCCCTCCCTATCACCCAGTCCCTACCCTTGCACCCCCCATCGGCCCCTATGTCAGTTATTATCACTGTATATCCACTCCTCCTGTGGGTCTCAAACTGGGAGACCCAACCAAAACAATAAAAACCAAATCAAAATAAAGTGGTAAGGATAAAATAATAATTATGTAAAGACCAAAATACAAATAATAAGTAAGAAAGAAAAGACCATCATCAACATTCCTTAAGCCAGGGAAGACATTCCTGACATGGAACAAGTACTTGCACCAGAACCCACTCAGGTTGGGTGTATACTAGGGAGGTCATCATCGGGCCGAGAATTGAGTTCGATTCCGCACAATCGAGATTATAATGGTCTCTGCCTGACAGCAAGGCTGTTCAAGGCTCTTGCCGGTGCCTAGAGGGGATCTGCCAGTGGCTCAATCTGACCAGATACTCTGCAGATGAGTTTTGGGGCTCCCACTGCCCTCCTACAAAATGGGTGTTCATAATTGGAGCTCTGATACTTTTCCCTTTGTCATATTCGAATGTTTTAATTGTCATCTTTGGATCACACAAGCTAGTGTGCTTCTTCCGTGTGGACTTAGTTGACTCCTCACTTAGATGGCTGCTTGTTTGAATACACTCCTTTAAGACCTCAGACACTTTTTTTTTTTTAACATTTTATTAGGGGCTCATACAACTGTTATCCCAATCCATACACACATCAATTGTGTAAAGTGCATTTGTACATCGTTTATCAAAACATTTTCTCTCCATTTAAACCCCCGACATTAGGTCCTCATTTTTCCCCTCCCTCTCCCTCCCCCCTCCCGCATGAGCCCTTGATAGTTTATAAATGGGTATTTTGTCATATCTTGCCCTGTCCGACGTCTCCCTTCATCCACTTTTCGGTTGTCAGACACTATTCTTATGAATAGCTGAGCACCACCTGCTTTCTTCCCCACACTCTGCTGTAGCACCCTTATCTTCAGTAATCCTTTCATGAAGGTGAGTATCGAGCAGGGCCGTGATGTAAGAACCGACTGCTCTTGGGTTGGGGCTAGAGTTACGTAGGAGCCTAGACTCCATCTGCTTGTCCATGGGGTTTGCACTTCACAGGTTTAGTTTGGTGGTTGTAATATGACAAATTCACAACCCTATATGATCAACCAGCAACCAAACAAACAGAATACATACACTAAAAAAGAAAAATCAAGAGATAAAAAACAAAAGCACAAAACAAGCTACAAGCAGGAAATCAAAAGCCCATATAAACAAAGAAGTACCGCTGTGTCACTTATCCCTCTGGCGTGTAAGTCTGTTGCACTATTATCATCAGTTTTCCCAATAGCAGTGCATCCAGACGCTGTCGGGATGAGGAGACGTGCAAGTACATTCCACCTTGAGCCGCAGCCCATGAGTTGTTGAACGCAGTTCCATCTCTCCTGCTATTGGGCTCTGTTGATGTCAGTGGGGGACTCTGCGCCAACTCCCCCAAGTGTAGATCTCTGTTCAATGGATCCCAATCTGTGGTCACTGCAGGGTGGGCACTGAGGCACTGCCTGTATGGTGGTCCTGGGTCCCCTTCCACCAGACACCCACTAAGCTGGGGCTTCCCCCCAAAGTTCAACGACCATCACTTCCACAATCCTGAGGTGGCCACTCTCTGCTTCTTCCCCCATCCAAGTAACCCAGCCTTCAGTCCAAGGATGCAGAGAGCTTTGAGCTAGTAGGATTCCGTTCATTCAGCAGAGCTTCTATGTTAAGTCCTTCTGGTGTAACCCTGTGTTGTGCCCTGCTGCCTGCTAAAGTCTCACTATTTTGTAAGAACTGTTGTAACATTCTATTATCTGGATATGCAATAATTTACTTAGCCTAGATGCCTATTTCTGGACTTCAATCTTTGCCATGACAACCTATGCTGTAAATCATTTGTGTACCAAGTAGCTCTGCAGAATAGATACCTGGGTAAAAGGCTTCTGTGCAGATTTTCCGTTTGGCCCTTCCCTCGGGAAGCATGTGAGTCAGAATTAGAGTATGTGTCAGACAGGAGTTCGCAGGTGGAGGATTGAGTCCACCCAGAGGTACCTTGGAAGAAAGACTTGCCTATCCACTTCCAAAATCCCAGCCTCTGAAAACCTTGTGAAGCATAGTTTGACTCCACACTTGAGGGGTCACCCTGGGACATTGCCAGCTTGACAACATCTGGTGATGTGTCAAACAGTGCTGGGATGCGTAGAAGTATTTCTTCCGCCTACCCTTTCAAGAGAAGGCTGGAAATCTTTAGCCCTAGCTTGCAGACCACTGCTTCTCAAAATGTGGTCCAGAGCCCAGTGCTGATCCATGTAGTTTTGGCTACAATTAAAATAAGTGCAGAAATTGAGGGTACCATTGGGAAATTTGTATAGCACCTCAACAAAGTAATTTTAGATGTTGCAGCTAATAATTTTTTTAATGGAGGTTTCTACTTTTCTCATTCATTTTCTAGTAAATCACTTTTGTTGATGTCTCAAAACTGTCTGTCCAGCTTGAAAACCAGCCTGTCACCATAAGTATCTTGGAAGTATGTGTCTAGCCAGCTTCAGCCAGAAGGGAAAGATGGGGTCTCCCAGAGAGTTGAACAGAAAGATTCTTCTAAGGTCCCTTCTGCATTTTCTAAGTCACTCCATACACTGCCACAGATTCTATTCTGACGCACAGTCACCCTATAGGACAGGGTAGAACTGCCCCTGCGGGCTTCTCAGGAGAAGACGTGTGAGTACATTCCACCTTGAGCCGCAGCCCATGAGTTGTTGAATGCAGTTCCATCTCTCCTGCTGTTGGGCTCTGTTGACCCTCAGTATGAGGGTTGATGTCAGTGGAGGACTCTGCGCCAACTCCCCCAAGTGTAGATCTCTGTTCAATGGATCCCAACCTGTGGTCACTGCAGGGTGGGCACTGAGGCACTGCCTGTATGGTGGTCCTGGGTCCCCTTCCACCAGACACCCACTAAGCCGGGGCTTCCCCCCAAAGTTCAACGACTGTCACTTCCACAATCCTGAGGTGGCCACTCTGCTTCTTCTCCCATCCAAGTAACCCAGCCTTCAGTCCAAGGGTGCAGAGAGCTTTGAGCTAGTAGGGTTCCGTTCATTCAATGGAGCCTCTGTGTTAAGTCCTTCTGGTAGAAAGGACTAGAAGTAGAAAGCCTCATCTTTCTCCCACAGAGCGGCTGATGTTTTGAACTGTTGACCTTGAGGTTAGCAGCCCAACTTGTAACCACTACGCAATCCAAGGCTCCTACATTTTCTAAGTCAGAAAAGTGTAAGCATGTTCACCAATCATTGGATTCACTGGGATTTCTTTTTCCACCGATAGACGACATCACCATGGTCATCTGCCCTGGAATTGCCAATCACAGTGAGAAGCAGTACATCCGCACTTTTGTTGACTATGCCCAGAAGAATGGCTATCGATGTGCCGTGCTGAACCACCTGGGTGCCCTGCCCAACATTGAACTGACCTCACCACGTATGTTCACCTACGGTAAGTCCCTCCGGATTCCGGCTCTAACCGCAATCGCATCATTACTTCTGCTTCTGCTTTGTTTACAAGTTTGGAAATACTGTCTGGTTTGCACATGTGAGCAGGGACAAGTGGGGCAGAAGAGATGCCAGGGCATACAGTGTGACAGCACCCAACTAGTCATGGGCATTTATGAGGGCATGCCTCAAAGAGCCAGAACATTAAGCTCACAGGAGACGAGATTGCCCCAGGTCTCTGCTCCGAAGTGTCAGAGTAGGGTTGGGAACCAGGTGGGCAGGGAAGCTTAGCTCTCTCCCTTCCTGAGCTCACCCTACCATCCGGACACCCGTCCTTCAGGACTCCCGGACCGGCAGGGTATGATAAGGCACGTGCCTTCTAGTGGGAAGGGCACCTGATACCTTACCAGCTTTTGACTTTCAAGTCCCTTGAGAAGAGGAACTGGGTCTCCTACTTAGACACCTGCTTTATGATGGAACTGAAGCCCGGTGGTAGCTGAGGCTCCGGTCTTGGTTCTCTTGTCTGTCTCCCTTCAGATTCTAAATCCACACATTGTCAGTGGTGAGCACAGAGAATACACAAACATCTGGGATGTTTATGACCAGGTAAACGGTCATGTCTTTTAGTGGGAGACAGCCTGCCTGGAATCTGTAATCTCACCCTGACTAATTTTTCAGTCTTCATTTCATCTTCCCAGCCTATCTTTATCTGGGTGAAAATAGTTGTGATTTGGTTACACCCCACTACATCCATCAGCCATGCGATACATTTAAATGACTGTGCGCTGTTTTCACTAGCATTAAGAGGGGTGGTCATTATAGTTCATCTTTCAAAGAGCTGCGCTGCTGCTGTCACCTTATCGTTTACTTGACCGTTCTGCTTTGTAAGGGACGGAGGTTATGTATTTAGAGTTTAGAGCTTTGGGGATTTTTGGTTTGCATGTTTGGGGCGTTCTGAATAGTGCTGCCAGGAGTGTCGTCTTGTACTTCAATGGCTCTGCCAGAGTCAATGCAGCATTTTCTTAGGCTCCTGATGCATTCTGTTAGCTTGTCCTCCTGTGAGGCCGGCCCGGGTTACACTGCCATTTATATCAAGTAGGAGTATTGTCTCTGACTGGGGAGAGTGGGGGTGTAAGGTGTGCTCCGTGCCACGCGTAGTGTGCTTGCTGCTTTGCATCTGTCCCCTCCCCTGTGCTCGCTGCCTCCCTCCAAAAGCGGCCCACTTAACAGCTGACTCCACAGCGGCCACACTAGCAGTTCCAATGAACAGCGTAGTCGGGGGCTTAGAGACGGAGAGGAGTGCTCAGCTCTGTCGAGGGCACGAGCACATGGGGGATAATGGACCCAGGACTGGATCCAAAGAGCAGAGACAGACGGAAGCTAATGAAAGTGGAAGCAATGGAGAAGAATGGCAAGATCTGACACTTGAACATAAAAGTCCATCTGTAGGAATTGAAGGTGGGGAGGCATAGCTTGGCCACAGGCCTGGGACAGAGTCTGGGGGCACACAAATGTCAGGGAAGGAGAGCCCCTTCTGTGCCCAGCACAGGAGTGCTGCCTTACCTTGACACAGTTAGCTCTTCCATTTCTACAGGAGATAGTAATATTCTTACGAAAGAGGGGGAAATGGAGGCAGGAAGAAGTTAAGTAACTGGAACAAAGGCATCGAGCCAGTAAGAAGGAGAACTAAAATTGGAGTCTGCATCTGGCTGCCTCAGCCTCCAGTATTATCTCAGAACTAGTACAACAGCCAGACCTCCCTACCCCAGTGGGCTGTGCCTTAGGCCCAGGACACAGGAGACTAGAATGGGCGAAATCCCCCCACCTGGGCAGAGGAGCCCATGGCAAGAGTCAGTTTAGTGTGGGCCGTGATCAGCTACCCCAGCTTTGCCTGACCAGCTGTGTGGCCTCGAGCAGTTTGCTGAACCTGAGTTCTAGATTGTTGAGCTATATAAGGTTTCCACTGAAATACGGGTAACTAAAGGCCTTGTAGATGCTTGAGGGCCAACAGGTAGTCAACATTTCTTGAAGGTCAGAGGTTATTTGGATCCAGAAGTTTGGAGGTCTGTTGATGCTAAGTGGAGAGATGGGCTGTGCTCTGCGAGGTCCAGATACATAAGCGCTGCCCTCCATTGCGTTGACTAGTGTGCTCCTTAAAGATGGAGTCAAACTGACAACCACAATCCAAAAGGCTGGATAGGGGACAGAGAGTCTGTGTGACGGAGGGAGGAACAACTCAGCAAAGGAGGGCGAAACCGGCGGCAGGGCAGGAAGCATGTCACCCATCAATGCCCTGCGTCACCCCTGCGGAGACTGAGATCGGGAAGGGAAGAGTCCATCGGAGGGCGTCAGTCAGTGCTCTCACGTGGACGTATGGAGACCAGCCTGTGTCTAGGCGAGGAGTTGAGTTGGGGAGGAAGGATGTTCCCAGGAAAAGCCTGTGGACAGAATCCTCCGGGCTGAGGCTGGCTTAGAGCTCACCAGCAGAAGCAATCTGAGTTGTCTGGAGGATCGCGCTGGCCAAATGACATGATACATTTGGAGACGAGCAGGATTGGGGCTAAAGAACTGACCCCAGGCATGGAAAATCCCTGGGAATTAGTGAGTTCACCTTGGGAGAACCCCAGCTCCCTAAGTTTTAAGAGCAGTGTATTGTTATTGTTTCGTGAGCATTTTAGAAGTAAACTCCTGCTCTTTGGTTTGTGATTGGTAGTTTCTGTCAAGTCCCTCCAGCGCATGCACAACAGAACAGAACCCCGCCTGGATAATTACTGGCATGCTGGAGGCCATTGTTGTGAAACCCGAATATCTGGAACAGATGCTCTTTATAGAAAAGATAGAGTAGCAAAAGCCACTGGGAGGCATGTTGAAATAAAAGGTTGTTGTTAAGACAGAACAAGGGGATGTTACGTGTTTTAAAATCAGAAAAGATGCTTGTCAGGGTTATATCCTTCCACCAGACTTAATCTGTATGCTGAGTAAATAATCCAAGAAGCTGGACAAAATGGAGCCTAGGGCATCAGAATCGAGGGAAAATTCATTAACAATCTGCAATAGCAGATTAAAACCAAAAAGGTACTAAAGCACTTATTGATAGATTATACCTCAACAGAAAGAAAGCAAAAATCTCCCCATCCCCAGCCAGTCCTGGGGCGTTGGGGCTCGGCTCAAGGGGAGTCCCCCTGGGACATGGGGCACAGTGAATGGGGTGACCCTTTGCTGGGCATGCCTACACAGTAGGGTATGCCGGGCCCCTCTGGGGTTTCCCACATGGGCTCCAATAAATTTCTTCCCTTTCGCTTAAAAAAGAAAGAAAGAGACCTCATGGTGGCGGCGGGTTGGGCGCGGTGCGGCGGTCGCTGACCTGCGAGGCTGGCGTGCGTGCACGTGCCCC